CTAAGTCTACTCTTCTTCCACAATTCCTCTGCATCATGTAACAGCATATACATATTTTATTGTGTAACATGCAAACAGGTCGTTGAAAAGAGTCCTTCTTCTGAGTCCAACTCCACTTCCAGAAGTCAGTACAGGTATTCCAGAAGAGTACAGGTATTTTACTTAAACAAAAGAAAGAGAAAGACAATTCACTCCTTTCTTCTTTTACATCTGCTTTGAATTGTCATTACTACTTGTATCATGCACATTTTTGCCTCCTGTTACCACTTCTTCCTGGTAGTTTGCAACCCTCATGACGTGTAGAGGCTTAGTACCAGCACTCTCCAAAATGTTAAGGTGAGGTAAATTGACTCGTGTTGCTGTGGTTGCACACTTGAATCATAAATTACAAGTAAGTCTTTCTTGTAAATATACTTGTATTTCCTGCTTTCATTCTTGGCTGCCACCCAGAAAAACAGAGATGTATGAGAAAATGGAAAAATGACATGTTTAGGGAGAAGGAAGGATTAATTTTTTGTATCTCAAAAAAAAAAATAATGAAAAAATATATCTCTAGTCTCACATTTTACATTCTTTTCAAACTGTTACAGAGTTCTTTAATGGGAGATAGCTTGTTTTTCTTTCAGGACATGCCACTGATCAGGACCAATGAGATTTAGAGCACCATGGTACTTAAAAATCACAGTCCTGAAGCAGTATAGTTTGTGCTAGGTGATGTAAAAACACTTTCAACACACCTCCTCCCAGCAGGACCGTGAGGCAGATTCTCCTGGAAACTATGTTCAGGCATATGGAAAATAAAGAGGTGATTGATGACACCTAAGTGGCTTCACTAATGGCGAATCATTCCTAACAAATTTGATGGCTTTCTACAAGGGGGCTGTGGTGTTGGTGGATAAGGGAAGAGCAACCAACATCATCTACCTGAACTTGCACAAAGCATTTCAGACTGTCCTGCACAACATTCTTGTCTCTAAACTGGATGGATGGACCACTCAGTGGATAATGAACTGGCTGGATGGCTGCACTCAAAGGAAGAGTTGTAGTCAATAGCTCAATATCCAGGTGGAGAAAAGTGATGAGTGGCATTCCTCAGGGGTTAGTACTGGGACCAGCATTGTTCAACATCTTTGTTGGTGACATGACCAGTGGGATACAGCAACTTTGCCTATGACACTAAGCTGTATGGTGCATTCAACACACTGGAGGGAAAGGATGCCATCCAGAGGGACCGTGACAGGCTTGAGAAGTGGACCCATGTGAACTTCATGAAGTTCAACAAGGCCAAGTGCAAGGTTCCACACCTGAGTTGAGGCAATTTCAAGCACATATACAGGCTGGGCAGAGATTGGATTGAGAGCAACGCTGAGGAGGACTTGGAGGTGTTGGTTGACAAGAAGCTAAGAGACTTGGTAACGCATGCTTGCAGCCTGGAAAGCCAACTGTATCCTGGGGCACATCAAAATGAGCATGATCAGCAGGTCAAGGGAGGTGATTCTTCTCCTCCACTCTTCCACAAGGAGTACTGTGTTCAGCTCTGGGGCCCCAGCATAAGATGGACATGGACATTTTGGAGCAATCCATAGTCCAACAAAGATGGTCAGAGGTCTGGAGCACCTCTCCTACAGGGACAGGCTGAGAAAGCTGGGCTTGTTCAGCCTGGAGAAGAGAAGGCTCTAGGAAGACCTTAAAGCAGCCTTCCAGTACATAAAAGGACCTACAAGAAAGATAGAGAGGGACATTTTACAAAGTCAAGTAATGATAGGACAAGGGTAAATGGCTTTAAACTGAGAGTGTAGATTTAGATTACATACTAGAAAGAAGCTCTCTTCTGTGAGGGTGGTGAGTCACTGGAACAGGCTGCCCTTAGAAGCTGTGGATGCTCCATCCATGGAATTGTTAAAGGCAAGGTTGGAAAGGGTTTTGAGCAACCTGGTCTAGGTGGCAGGGGGATTGAAACTAGATGATCTTAAGGTCCCTTCCAACCCAAAGCATTCTATGATTCAATATAACTAGCAAGGAGTAATGTAGACAGCTTAATTTCAACTGCTATTTTAGACACTCCATAGAGTAACACAGAAAATCTCTTTGATGATAATTACCTAATTTTAATCATTTAATAGTTGTAGAGGAAACCTAGGGTGACAAACTGATTGCCAGTCTGTGCTGCGAAGGTGAAGACCCATCCACAGAACCATTCCCTCTTTCATGGCACAGGCTATGCTATACCAGGTGACATTAGTGCATAGAGCTTCATAGATAGCCAGACAGATAAAATTAAACTCCTACTTTTCTGCTTTAATTTACCCTAAGCAAATTAAGCTTGTGACCCATTATCTTTGGTAGAAGCTTTTTTTTAATTTGATCATTTGGTAATCTATATAACAGGTGGACAACTACAGTATTTATCAGCACTAAACCTCAGAGTTGCAGAGGATGTAAAGACAGCAGAGCAGAAGACAGGGTAGACAATCTGATCACCATGTTGTGTTGGAGATACTTGTGCCAATGATCAGAGAAAATACTTCTTTGCTTAGTGTAAAAAGAGGAGGCAAAAAGATTGGTCTCTGTTAAAGATCCGTCTAAAAAGACATTACACGCAGACAGAGAAGTCCTTCCAAACATTCTGCAAATTACAGTAATTTTATTTACCATCTATGATCCAGTGGTCTGGGTCATCACTCTTAAAGCTTCTTCTGCTAGAGCATTTGATATTAATTTTGTTGTATGCTTACTAAGAGCTATATTTAATCATATTTTCAGTCACATTGTTTTTCTTTTGGGGACCAGTCTTAAAGAAACTATTTCACCTTGGTCTCAGAAGGCTAAGTTTGTGCAGATTCATTAATTAAATATCTTTCAGCAGAAAAACTTTTTATAACATTTTTATAATTTCTTATTGGTAGCATCTGTGTTCCTGTATATTTCCTATGCCACTTACAGCTTCTTTTACTGCATAAATCCTTCTTTAAAATCCCTTACTCTAAATTTATTATTAAAAAAGAAATATAGTAGAGCCTGCTCTACTAGTCTTTGTGATGTCTGTCTTACCAGCATTTACTTTATACTTTCATATTACCAACAGAAGCATTAAATAATATGTGGCCTAGAAATGTGTCACAGGATGATGAATTCCCATACATAACACTTGGAGATCTATCAGTAAACCAGTTTTTTATTTTGTTTACCGGGTACTATATTATTCTAATCATTCTTTCCTTCTTGACACTTTCCATACTTCTGTGTACTGTCTACGTCACTTTCACCCTCTTTTGTGGCCAGACAAACCTATAAATAACTTCTGTTTGAAAGCTCTGAGCCTAAAAATAGAGTGGTAAAAGCCTAGATGATTAGCTTTTATTAAATAACTAATTTTTTATCAAAGTTGAGATGAATACATGTGTAGGTGCTTAAACTTTGATGGGTGACAACTCCTGCCAGTGCCTTACAAAGAATCCTACCTCTTTCTGCTATTACATAGAGAAAACAGATAGGTGCTCAGTCTTCACCAAGTATTTCACTACATATACCTGCACAAATGAGACACCCACATTAGACAAGAAACTTACTTTTATCAGGTATCGCTGCACTGTGATGAAATAGATTTCAAGTTTTACACATCCTGTTTTTCATTAAATCCTGCTAATTGCATTCCTTTACTATCACTTATTATTATCCATAGAATCATAGAATCATAGAATAGTTAGGGTTGGAAAAGACCTCAAGATCATCTAGTACCATCCCCGTCAAGCCATGAGCAGGCACACCTCACACTAAACCATGTCACCCAAAGCTCTGTCTAACCTGGCCTTGAACACTGCTAGGGATTGAACACCAGTTCTGCCAAAGAGCAGTGACCTCTCTCTCATTACCAATCAATACCAGCACATTTTACTGATTTCTGAAAGATTCTTGAAGTTCCTCAGTGTTGCAAGATTTGCTAATCCGTGAAATGAATTCAGTCTCTTCACTCTGACTCCTTTGGCACTCAAGGGTTCCAGTCCTGCTGATTTCAGTAAAGTATTTAACTTCCATTGTTTATGTTTATGGTCCTCCCTATCTGCTGGCTCAGTAGAAAGTATTTCCTTAATACTTTATCATAGGAATACATCATCCTGCTTTTCTTCAGGAGCAGATAAAAAAATATTTGTTGAACACTTCCTTTTCTTGTTGTTCTTACTACCCTTATCTAGTGTCAAACTGATACTCTTGCTGAACTATTGTTTGTTCCTGACACATTTAAGAAATCCTTTTCTGAGTTTCTCTGATTATTTGTCTGCTTTTTCAGTGATATTTATTTACATTTATTAATAAAACAGCTTAAAAATCTTTTCTTATCCTGTCTAAAACCAAGAATATTTTGAGCCATGGAACCTAAATATCTTTTTGCATGAGCACAAAAATGGTAATGTAGGGAACCCCTGGTAAATACAGATGTAACAGCTGAAAAATAGTCAAAACACAGAAGAGACAAAGGGACCTACCTTGTAACTCAGCTACTCTGCAATTTTCTGTAGTACCTCAGTTGGTGAGGGTCCCTGTTTTCTTTTGATATAAAACCTTGTGGCTAGGATTGTCTCTCTGGATTTATAGCACATACATATTTGTTGCATAAGTACAGTTGAACTTCAATTGCAACCATAAAATATAAGTAGCCCAAAAATATAAGTCTTACTGTTGAGCCTCCCTTAGTTTCCTCTTGCTGCTTTACAGCACCTCTTTCTTGCACACCTGTATATTACAAAAATGTTATTTGACTTTTCAACCAGTATTTTTTTTTGTTTGTTTTTGTTTTACTTTTGGCCATGGCTGCAACAAAATAGAACACTGGTTTCTATTCGGAACACCAAATCAGAAGTTTGCAAAGCTCCGAATGTTTATTTTTTTAAAGCAGGTTTTGCTGTTATAACAAGCAGTTTATTCAGTTTTTCCTTTCAGTTTATCACAGCTGATCATATGACAATCAAAACCACTTGTTATGAACAGATTTGATGCCTGCAGAGACCAACAAATCCAGACCCCATGATGAAATCCTGAAACCCAGGTGGAAGGATATAACATATGGAAGCCAGGTTTTGGTGAACCATATTAGCTCTGGCTACTCCATCCAGAAGTTTGCAGGGCCCCAGATATGTCAGACTCTTCCATACCTCAGAGTATCACATTGTCAAAACAGAAAAATCAAAAACTACGAGAAACGCTAGGCCCATATGCCTGCAACCTTTACAAAGCCAGAAAATGCCAAGAATACACAGACCTGCAGCCCATTTTCTAATTCAAGTACAAAGGAGTATGCCATTCATTTTACTCTGTACGACTACATGAGAATCTGACTTGCATATTCCAATGACAAATGAAAATGTACATATATTTTTATGGGACTAATTTATAAACAGCTTCTAACCCCTACCTGCAGAGTTACTTGTCCTTCTAACACTCTTTCTCCTGTGTAAAAATCTTTTTTTTTTAATTTTGAAATTTTCATATTCAGAGAAACAAAGTGACAGCAAGGAATACAGGGTAGCTGCATTACAGAAGAGAATTAGGATGCTTTTCATTCTGCTGGTTTTTAAAAAAAAAAAAAAGCTCAATTCTTTTCTAACCATCATGGATTTATTAAGTTTAAAATATACTAAGAATGACATAACCTTCTGATGATCATGTGAGCCTCTGTGGGGAAGTAGTCTGCATTAGACTCCTGCGTTTCAACCCTCACGCTTGCACTGAAACTCAGGCAACCTGGAGCTGAAGATGAAAGGCTTGTTTATTAACCTGCAATGGAGTGATAGGAGTAGACAAGAGGGTTGTTAGTCAGGGTTGGATGGAGATTTATCAAAAAAGAGAAACTATAAATGTTGCTGCCCACCATGATTTTAAACCCAAAACTAAACAAAAAATATTGGGTTTGGTAGTAATCACATGGAAATGTTCACGGGGGCTGGAACTAGATGATCTTAAGATCCTTTCCAACCCTAACTATACCATGATTCTATGATGTAGGTGCATCTTACTTCCACTACTTCCAGGAAGACCTCATTGCAGCCCCTATATAAAGTGGTCTTATAAAAAAAAATGGAGTCTTTTTATCAGGGCCTGTAGTGTTAGGACAAGGGAAAATGGTTTTAAACTGAAAGAAGGTAGATGTAGATTGGATATAATGAAGAATTTCTTTTATGATAAGGGTGGTGAGACACTGAGGCAGCTTGGCCAGAGAAACTGTGGATGCCCCATCATTGTAAATATTCAAGATCAGACTGGACAGCGCTTTGAGCAGTCCCATTAGTGAAAGATGTTGCTGTCCACAGTGGGGTTAGACTAGATTATCTTTGAAGGTCCCTTCCAAACCAAGCTATTCTATGGTTTTATAATTTGATGTCTGGTCCAAATGATAACAAACTCCTGGTAGACCTATTAGTAATGGTAGGTTTATCAGCTTGACCTGTGTTGCCCACCTGTATGTCTCAGAACTTCCAGTGACCAACTGAGCAGTTACAGAATTTATAGTTCAGGTTGCCTCTTTGCCCTCAATTAGCTGCTTTACATATATATATATGTCCAATGACAGAGTCTTGAGTGATATGATTTCATAACATTTTCCATTCGGTGGATGAATCAGAAGTATAAATGAGGCAATATTTTCTTTTTCTCCTCAGCATTCATGGCACAGTTTTAAGCCCCATTTACTGGGAATCATCCAAACCTTGTATGGAAGATAGAGTCACTCATCTTACGAGCATTGTTATGGGCATGCCTACACCATACAATGAAGGGTGGTGTTCAGACTCCTGGAAACTGCTGCTTGGGCCAGCTCTTGAACCAGAAGCTGTGTTGCCACATCAGCAGGGTGCTTTTGATACCTGCATGGCTATCCACAGTCTGACTATTTAGCAAACTCTTGGCTACCTGGAGCAGCTTTGCACCATACTCTATTGTGGTCTAAATATGCTCAATGATACTCGTCACCACAACACTAAATAAGATATGCACAGGCACAGGGGCAAAGCACTTTCAAGCCTGCATCTTGCCACTTCACCATTCTTTTAACCTAATTAATAGAAGCAATAGCTAATTCTTTACAGTTGCTCCTTCCCACAAATGAACCTTAAAGCACTTCTTTTCTGAAAAAAAAAAAAAAACCAACCCAAAAACCTAATTTAGAAAGTCTAGCCCAAGTCATTCTGCAGACTAAAGAGTAAGTTAAGATCATCTTCAGAAATGCTAAAGCAAATTTTTAAGACATGATGCTTTCACAAAAACAAATCTTTTCCTTTTATTTCCTTATTGTAAGTAAGATTAATTTTGCTTTCAAAAATTTTAGTGATATCATTTTCTTTCTGAAAGAAGTTGAGGTTCTGAGGATGTGGCGATTGGTGCTTTAACTATCACTACTCTATAAGAAAACCATATGGGCAAAGACAATAAGCACTAGAAAGAGCGCCTGTACTTCGCATTTTAGTACTTATATGGCAGATATAGTGTGAATAATAGACTATGCCCATTCCATATACTAGCAAAACACGTTAGAGCTTTTCTATTGCAGACACAAATTAGTCATGAGCCAGCAGGTTTGAGAAACACAAAGGGGTAAATTACAAAGCAATGTGCAGGGATTTAGCTGCATGGCTCCCATTAACATCAATAGGATTTAACTGTGTGACTCCCTGTGCAACATTTTGCAAATTTACCCTAAATTGACTAGCGTGGTAATTCCTGGACAGCATGTAGTAGGAAAGTGACTGCTTCTGTAAACACAAGGGACTGTTGATTCTCAAATGTCTCCATGCTGCACTCAACAAACATTCAAACAAACATTTTATTCCCTACATCACAGGAGGACAGGAAATAAAGACACAAGCTCAGAACTCTTATTCCACAGGGGACTACAGTTGCAGAAATGCCTTTTAGGGAGAACAAAACTCTATTAATGATCCCTGATACTGTCGGATTCCTGACACGCTGAGCCTAAAAAAAACTGATCTACTGGTACCACATAGGAACTGAAGCAGCAGATAAGAGTAATTCCATAGTTCCTGTACTGAAATGTGCTGAGAAATGAAAAAAAAAAATTGATTCCAGTATCCTCTTTGATATTGCTCCTCCTGAAAAACTATTTTTTATTTGATCACATGGATTTTTATTTGTTTTCTGCAAAAAAAGGTTTCTTCTTTTGCTTCCTTTTGCTCTCATAAAACTTTTCTCACTCTTTCATTATTAGTTATCTAAAGGCTTCATTATTAGGTAGCTAAAGCTACATTTTATTACCTTTGCATACTAGCTTGAACAGATGTATTCCTGTCTGAATAAAAGAGTACAGATCTCATTTACATTGTGTATTTCCCAAATCAGAGCACAAAAGTTAAATAATATGTATTTATAATATGTATGTGGGACAGCAGAACATTAGCATGTAGGTGCTACTCATTCAGGAGTTGAGGGGGGATAAAGGCAGTCAATGGAAAATTCTGGAAAAAATGTTAGAAGTCATGCTAGAAATAAAAATTATGTCCCTCCTTACTGAGCAGTTAATTTTAGATTTTCAGAGCTGGCTTTAGTTTTCTGTTCTATGAAAGCAAAACCATATCCCTCCTTGTCTTTTCCTTCACCTCCTGTAACAGCACAGGTAAAAGCAATCACACAGCTGTTTCATTCCTCTGGCTTTATGTTTTTCAAGTGTTCAACAGTAGCTGGATTTTCCAGGTTTGGCTGTTGGAGAGGCACAAGAGACTTAAAGCATGTGAAAGACGAATTGGCATGGTGGGTCTAGTCAGATATGTATATGCTTGTAATGTCACAGTAGTATATGTATATCCATCTGTGTAAAACCAAAGTTCAAATTAAGATTGTGGCTTTGGATTTATGAGCTGGAAGTGACCATAGCAGCCATTCAGTTCAGTATGAGTCATATGCCAAGATAGTCCCTGGTCCAAAATTTCTCTTTAGAAGAATGTAGAAGTTGAAAGTCAAAGCCTGACCTAGTATAAATTTGCATAGATTCACTAATGCTTGCTGTCCTGCAAATCTTCCCATGAGCCCTGTATTTGACTCACAGTTCATGCCAAATCACTGTGCAAAATCCACCCAAATATCATTGTCAACCTGACCATAACAACTTTCTGTTCCAAAACATCCTTCTAGAAAAATCTTGGTTCTAACTAACTACAGCACAAAAGGCTTTTAAAAGCCTTCACTTCAAAAAAGAGTGAACTTGAAGACTGAGGGGTCAAGCAGACAGAATTAACTCAGAGAGCATGAAAATGCTTTTTTTTTTTCACTGAAATTACAGTAAAAGAAGTAGATTTTGTTTCATTATTTGAAACTTATTTTAAGACTTGTGAAATTATATTTTCAAATATATGCAATTTTATTTCCATATGTACTCTTTAATTCATTGCTAGGCAGTACCCAGGCACTTTGGACAAAAATCAAATCAGCACCTACTTTCTTTGAGGAAATCTGGATCTCCATTTTCTGTCTCCAGTATCTCTGTCTTTGCTGTGAAATAGAAGGAATATGAAGGAAAGATGTCTGAGTGAGGTGGATATTCATCATTTTCATGTGTATCTCTGACCATTCCACAATGCATATCACAGCCTTTCAGTCAGCCTAACCTGCTTCTGCTTTAAACTCATTCTTCTTGTCACAAGATAAAACAGTGATTAAGAACTAAAAAAAAAAGTATAAAAGGAGGAAAAACAAAAAAAAAAAAACACACTGAATATGAAAAAGAAAACAATTGTTGCATAGTTTGTGGTATGCAAATATTCTTCGAGGGAAGAAGGAAGGATATGAAATTGATGACACCTCCCCATCTTTTAGCATACAATTTGTCTGATTCATATCAAGGACTAATGTTTTACACAAAGTGAACCACATGTGCTCCTCTGCTCTAAGTGTAAATGTTGTTGCTGCCAATGACACTGCTCCTCAATAGGTAATCTGATAAAAGTCAACTTGGAGATAGTATTGGTTTTGGAGAGGCAGTACTGTAAATAACCAACAGGAATGAATCCAATATTTCACATTATTTATTTTAAGAGAGCAGTTTCAATTTCACTACTTCCCAAATGCAGAATGTTTAAGGTCAAAATTACCCAAAGAAACCTTCAGAGAGGGCTTTTTTAATTTTTTTTTCTTTCTTTCAGTAGAATTTTTTTCAGCTACTTATGCAACATAAATCACCGCCATAATTCTCATTCTATATAGTGCCTTGCTGAATACTTGTGAACTGTGTTGGGTACTTTCCAATACCCTTGGTATAAACCAGCAGATGCCTATGAGAACATTCCGGTAAGTTATCAGTATGTTGCTGTTTATATTATACCAGCTTCCAAGAATCCCAGTAAGAATCTGGGTCATCTCTTGGGTGCAACATTAAGACAGGTAAAGCAAAAAAAAAAAAACAAAAGAAGTGTCTAGAACTGTGTAACAAAACATACAGATGTAAAAAGCTACAGATATTCAGACACATACAAGCTACATCTAAGCATGCATCATTACTAGCCTGTTGCATATTTTACACTCTACAGTCCAGCCCAATAACTTTTTTCAAGAGGAAGCCCCAATTTTCTCTTACAAGAGATTTTGTAGTCCTTCAATATTCTCAGAGTTAGAATATGGAGTTCAGGTCCACTGGAATGAATGAGAAAAAGCTGATAAAGAACAGTCTTATATGGCATCAGCTTCCATCCATGCTCTTCATTCAGTCCTTCTTGGAGCCTGGGGGAAGATCAGCAGGTATCTATTTCCACCCTGTATTATCTAAGGATTCTCAT